ATTATATGTTTATATAATATAAAGGCATATAATTATATATAATATAAATGTACATAATTCTATATTTTATATATTTATCTAATATAAATTTATATATTTACATAATATATATATAACTCAGAAACAACTACGAGGAAACATACGAATATCTAACCGTCATTATCTTCGGAATGTGGAGGTGATAGGGAATTTTTTTAATGCTCTCCTGCACTTTTTCACATTTTCTACAACGAGTACGTGATAGGTCTAAAACCAGAGAAGTGATTAATGTCATCTAAAGGACAAAATGGGTATGTCCTGCTCTAAGAAGGGAAATATTTCACGCCGGGTATGAATGTCTCCATGTGTTTGTATTTTCTCCACACGTCATCATGTCGTCCTGTCCCTTCACAAGGTACTAATGGGCGTGCCCTATGGAAGTATTCCCAGAAAGACAGTGCCTCGGGCTGAGGAAGAAAAAGCCATGGATTTTTCGGTCCTTTGGGACTTTGAGGTACCATCACTAACAAGCCAATGCGCTTCTATTCTGTGATTGTGAGGCTTAAAAGATTGCATGGATATGTGTGAAATATTGCATTGAATCACTGGAAAACCAGTGCTTCACTCAAATGGGGTCCCCCACTATGCAAAATGAGCTAGCCAATCATGTCCTCCTAAGTCCCCTCCGTGGGTCCTTTCTCCAGCCACACACTGCCCCCTCTCTCTGCCAGATCCATCTAAATGATCTTACAGGGTAGTTTTCTCTCCCCACACCCACATCAAGACTCCAGGGCTCGCACCAGTTCAGCCGTTCCCAAGCTTCACATGGCATCCTCAACTGAATGTCCTACCTGCTCCTGAAATTCAATGCCTGTCCAGCCAAACCCACATCGCTTTTTTCCATCTCCTTTATTGGAACCACCATCCATCCGAACACGGTGTGAAAGCTGAAAGTCATCCTACGCTTCTCCCTCTTCCCCACCACCACGCCCCACAACCAATCAGCCACTAAATCTGAGCCTTTCCCCTAAACCCATCTTGACTCCGTCCCCTTTGCCCCATCCCTCTCGCCTCTTCTTCCAATAATGTCCCCACCGTTCCAGGACCATGTCCGAATCTTCTACCTCTGCTCCTTGCTTTGACTTGGCTCCTAAAATCTCCATTCCCTCTGCTGCCAGCGTGATCTTTCTGAAAGGCAAACCTGGCCCTCTCACTTCGCTACCTTGGATATTCATCTATTCCTGTTCCCAAATGGAATAAAATCCAGTGTTTTGAATCAGGTTTATGAAAGAACCGTTCACCATCTGGCCACTCCCTCCCTCTCCAGCTCCATTTCTATCTCAGCCCTCACACCTTATGTTCCTGTATTTGTCAAGTTTGGGAGAGATCCCTGAACCCATCACATATCATTGCCTCCCTGCTTCGGCTCAGGACACTGCCTGAAACGAACTTCCCTCCTTTTTGAATCCCCTCACCTCCGTGCCTCTGGAGGGCTTGGTCTGTAGCTCCAAGGAGTTCCTGAGGCTGAGAGGCCCGGCTGTGACGGTTCAGGCAACAGGTCATTGCTGCTGCTATCCTTCACGCTCCTAGGCAGGTTTGAGACCTCTCAGGTATGCGTGGAAGTGAGTTGGAGTATTTTTCTAAGACTTTGGAATAAGTGTGTTTCAAATAATACTACACAACTAAGTATTATATACAACTACTACTGTGTATTACCACTAAGGATTTCCTTTATTCTTTTTTTCTTTCACTTATTTATTTTTTGAGAGAGAGAGAGAGAGAGAGATTGCATGCACGCATGGGAGGGGCAGAAAGAAGGAGACAGATCTGGAAACAGGCTCCGTGCTGTGAGCGCAGAGCCCAATGGCAGGGCTGAAATTTACAAATGGCGAGATGACCTGAGCCAAAGTCAGACGCTCAGACGCTTAACAGACTGAGCCACCCAGGCGCCCCTCCGTTGTTCTTTATTTCACTCAAGGACTCCTATGGAATATCCTATGTGCCTAAAACAAACTGAATTTACTCAACAGTAATCCTCTGTTTTGTTGTCGCTGTTGCTCCCAATGGGAAAATTTTCTTTTTCTATTTTTTGTAACGCGCCGTTTAAAAAAGTAATCTCTACCCCCAGTGTGGGGCTCAGAGTCACAACCCCAAGATCAAGAGTCACATGCTCCACCCACTGAGCCAGTCCAGGTGCCCCTAAAATGTCTCAGGCCAGAATTAAAGTTTTGGAGAACTTCTATCCATCACCACGAAGCGACAGTGTCCGTTTCTCAGTGATTAAATGCTTTTCTGATGAGATCAATGAAGATATTAACAAAGGTGACTTTTTAAATACGGTGTAAGAAGTATGTCAACATTTGGCAGATTTTTATAACGTACGGAACCATTATGTTCCCCGTGACCAAATACATGATGTTACAGAATTACGTGTGGGTAAAAGATAGTACAGGATGGAACAATTAAGCTTTAAAAACTTTACGTCTCGAGATAATTTTTTAAAATCTTGGGACAATTTGAAGCTTACAGAAGAGCTGCGTAAATAGTACAGAGTTCCCATGTACCCCCCACCCAACTTCACTTTATGACACCATCTTACATGATCAAAACTAAGAAATTGGGCGCCTGGGTGGCGCAGTCGGTTAAGCGTCCGACTTCAGCCAGGTCACGATCTCGCGGTCCGTGAGTTCGAGCCCCGCGTCAGGCTCTGGGCTGATGGCTCAGAGCCTGGAGCCTGCTTCCGATTCTGTGTCTCCCTCTCTCTCTGCCCCTCCCCCGTTCATGCTCTGTCTTTCTCTGTCTCAAAAATAAATAAAAAACATTAAAAAAAATTAAAAAAAAAAACTAAGAAATTAATCTTGGTAGAATAGTAACTGAAGTGTGGTATTTATTTGGATTTTGCCAATTTTTCCACTAATATTCTTTTTCTATTCCAGGACCCAATTCAAAATCTCATACTGTATTTGTCATGTCTCCTTAGTCTCCTCCAAATCCATGACAATTCTCTGTCGTTCAGTGACCTTGGTACTTTTGAAGAGTACTGGACAGTGGTTTCGGAGAAGGTCCCTCAATCTGGGTATCTGTTCTCTCACGATTGTAGTGAGGTTATACATCACTGGGAAGCCTACCACAGAGATAATATGCCCTTCTCAGGGGGTCAGATCGGGGTTACATTATGCTGATGTGTGTTATTAGTGGTGATGTTAACAGTGACCAGTTGGCTAAAGTCGTGTCTGCCAGAATTCTCTGCCATAAAGTTAGTATTTTTCTCTTTTTAATTACTCGGTATTTTGGGGAGTGCGATGGATTTTAATATAACAAGGTATGAAAAGTTAATTACGTGATTCAGATTCCACGTGACAACTAACATTTAAGATGACCGTTTATTGAGCTTACGTATCATATCAAAGAAACAACCCAGGGGCCCCGGGCTCAGTCGGTGGAGCGTCCGACTTCGGCTCAGGTCACGATCTCACAGTTCGTGGGTTCGAACCCCGTGTCAGGCTCTGTGCTGACGGCTCGGAGCCTGGAGCCTGCTTGGGATTCTGTGTCTCCTTCTCTCTCGTCCCCTCGCCTGTTTGCACTCTCTCTCTCTCCCTCTCTCAAAAATAAATACACATTAAAAAAAATTTTTAAAGAAGAAACAACCTTAGGTATATGAAGAGACTGTTATGATTTGCCTCCCCTTTCCAGCTACATATCTATGTGAGGCCAGAATAACCCCCCGCTTTACATTCAGCAAAGATGTCAAAGAAGGGCCAAAATTCTAAGCTCATGTTACAAATAAAAAGTGTACTGATTATACCTAAAACCAAATTATATCTGAAAACCAAACCAAAACTTGAAGTTCAGGGGTGCCTCGATGGGTCAGTCAGTCGAGCGTCCCGCTCTTGATTTCGGCTGAGGTCATGATCCCAGGGTCGTGGGATCGAGCCCCATGTTGGGCTCCATGCTGAGTGTGGAGCCTGCTTGAGATTCTCTCTCTCTTTCCTGCCCCTCTCCTCTGCTTGTGCACGCTCTCTTTTTCTCTCTAAAAAAATAAAAATAAAATAAAGGGCCTCCTGCGTGGCTCATTCGGTTAGGCGTCTGACTTTCGGGTTTGGCTCAGGTCACGATCTCACGGTTCGTGAGTTCAAGCCCCACGTTGGGCTCTGTGCTGACAGCACAGAGCCTGCTTGGGATTCCCTTTCTCCCTCTCTCTCTTCCGCTCCCCCACTTACACTCGCTCTCTCTCTCTTTTTCTCTCTGTCTCTCTCTCTCAAAATAAATAAATACACTTTATAAATAAATAAACTTGGGAAAAAAAGCAAAAATCCCAAATAGAAATGAAAAAAAGACTTGAGGCTCAGATTCGACTGTGAGTCTTATAATGTATAGTTTTCTCTGTAAGTTTTGCACTGAGAAAGCTCACAGACTCCCACCTGCTTCCAGAGTGTTAAATCAAGACCCTGGCATTGTGGGGGGAAAGAATTTGGAGCTCTACGTGCCTGTGTGCATGCACACGTGCACGCGCGCACACACACACACGCATCCCCTTATCCCCAATTTTATCCGGGATGTTAGCAACGCTCTCCTCCTCGTCCTGTATCTGTAAGCATTCTGTATAATGGAGAATAAAGAGAACAAAGGAGAGACATGGAGACATGGATAGACTCGGGAGCACTGGGGGAAGTAAGGTACCCACAATTCTTCCTTTCTCCTCTCAGACTCCCATTAACCCCCTGAGAAAGACATTCCCGGTAGAATGAAAGTGTCTGGTGACTATATGTACGAAGCTTACAAACCCGGAGCGTTTGATCTGCTGTCCCGCAGGGCTACATCAAGTATTCTGCTCTCTTCTATGGCTACTACAACAACCAGAGGACTATCGGGTGGCTGAGGTACAGGTTGCCCATGGCTTACTTTATGGTGGGGGTCAGCGTGTTCGGCTATAGCCTGATGATTGTCATTAGATCGTAAGTATGACCGTGTCTTTCACAGGCTTTTCATTTCCTTCACACAAACATCCCGCTCCTATGGCCACTCTGTGCCTGCTTACCTTCCTGTGGGAATTTAGAGAGAAAATAAGGAAACAAAGAATGCAGATATGGATTGTTGTATGTAGTATAAAAGGCATAAACAGGGTAATAGGGGAAGTTTGGGGAAATGGGATAGAAGCATCTTTACATGATGCTGAGAACTGCCAATCGCACTGAAAGTCTGGGGGACAGCATTGTACGCAAAGGAAGAGCATGTGCAAAGGGCCTGAGGCAGCAAATATCCTAATGAGCTCCAAAACCTGTCAAAGGCCAGTGTGGCTTGAGAGGGAGCAAGTACCTGATAAGGTAAGACCAGAGAAGTCTTTGAGGTCTGTTTTTGCTTTCCCTGGAGCTCAGCTTCCTCAAAAAAAAAAAAAAAAAAAAAAAAAAAAAAAAAAAAAAAAAAAAAAACAACTCTCCTGCTCCTCTGTAACTCTAGCCTGCATGTCAGCACTGAGCCCCTCACTTATCGACAAAACAGCGCAAAGGAACGTATATGGTGCGATTAACGATGGGTTAACGATGGTGTCCTCTCTAGCCCCAACACCACCTGTCTCTGTGGTCAGAAATGGCCTTTTAATTCGTCGGTGCCTCTTCATTTATATTCTCTGAAGAAAAACCTTGGCCCATGAATTGCCTTCTTCGAAGCCAGGGGACCCCAATCAGCACAGGCTGGTGCAGGGTGGGGGACACTGTCTCCTGCACAAACCTGGCTACAGGGCCTACCCACCCTTCAGCAAGGCCGTAAGAGGTCACTCACTCCTCCCAGAAGCGTACGAGTAGCTGCGTCTGCAGGAGAAGAGTGGGGCACTCTGGGAGCCTGGATAGGACCTCTGAAAGGGCAGTGTGCGGGCCCAGCATGGCTTTCTATCACATCATCTCGGGGGAAAACGCTGCCGTCCGCCAGGGCCTGCCCTGAACGTGACAGTAACCACCAGGTGATAGGCAGCCGTCCGGCCAGCTCCATCAGGCAACAAAGAAAAGCAAGGAGATGAGCTTGGCCCTCACGTTGTTACATTTTCCCCCTGCTATTATCCCAGATAAGTACAGAGATATGGAATGTTTCCCCGATGAGCCAGAAAGCTAACTAAGCCCCTGGAGTAGCAAATCCCGAAAGCCAACACATGAGACGGAGAGGCGCGACCTGTCCTGGCTATCGTTAGCCCAATTCAAATCATCTTGGCTCTCTCCTCCCCATTGGATGTCTGCTATCTGTGCCCCAGACCCGCTGAGGCCAAGGTTCCCTGGGCAGTCATAACAGCAGTGGTGTGCACCCTACAGGATGGCCAGCAATACCCAGGGCAGCGCAAGCGAGGGGGAGAGCGCTAACTTCACCTTCAGCTTCAAGATGTTCACCAGCTGGGATTACCTGATCGGGAATTCAGAGACAGCCGACAACAAGTATGCCTCCATCACCACCAGCTTCAAGGTAGGTGCCTAGAGTAGTTCCCACTTCCTGGGGGGAGCTTCGGGTCCCGCTGGTCATTAGGGGACTTCACCCAGCTAGGGCATGGTGGATAAGATCCCCCAAGTAATTTGTGGTAAGAGCTCTACCAGAAGTGTGGGCCTCGCTCTCAAGCCTTCCGGAAAGGATGCTCAGGACTGAGACCCACCATCTGTTTTTTAATATGGCGGAGACTCATGGATGCTGAGACCTGGTCCTGCCTGTTTCTCCGTGGAACTGTTTTCTGCCAGAGGGAGTAGAAGGACTCACGTGGGGCTGCAGTTCTCAACCTGTTATGCACGATGGAATCACCTCAGCAGCTTTAAAAATCTTTTGGACCCAAACCCCCAGAGATTCTGGTGTCATTGGTCAGGGGCTGGGGAATTCCTTGCAATGGATTCTTTCGAAGCTCTCTGACAGATTAGGAAACCTAGAAACAGTAGCGAATGCTGGTTGTGGGAGTCAATTAAATGTGCAACTCCAGGGGCGCCTGGGTGGCTCAGTCGGTTGGGCGTCCGACCTCGGCTCAGGTCATGATCTCGCGGTTCGTGGGTTCGAGCCCCGCGTCGGGCTCTGGGCTGACGGCTCGGAGCCTGGAGCCTGCTTCGGATTCTGTGTCTCCCTCTCTCTCTGCCCCCTCCGCACTTGTGCTCTGTCTCTCAAAAGTGAATAAACGTTAAAAAAAAATTTTTTTTTTAAATGTGCAACTCCATACTTAATTATCTTATCGATTTGTCATAAAAGATATGTGAGGTGGCCTATACATCTCTATTTATTTTAAAAAATAGAAGCAGACCTAAGGGTAAGCAAATGAATGAAGGCAGAAATTGGTATGCCAAAGCACTGTGCATCTTATTTTTTCCTCCAGGACTGTAAACACCATTCAGAGCTATTGATAGTTCAATATTTCCCCCATGCGACCAGTCAGACTTTCTTCCCTCACGACCTGCCAAAGGTCGGATGCACGACATCAGTGTGCTTGTCTTCTTCTCTCCCCTCTCTCCTTGCCCTTCCTGGCCGAAGAGGGCTGCTGCAATGCAGACAGACGGCAGGGGCACCCACCAGGGGCAGAGCTTGGGCTCAGCAGCTCACTACATGGGTTTCATGAGCCCACAGTCCTGACAGCTTGGCAGTGGGACGCTCAGGGAGCTGCCTGGGTTCTCCTCCCTTCTCCTTCTCCCAGCATCGGGGGCCCATTGACAGAGCATCCAAGGGCAGGAAAGGGATCAGTGAGGGCTCTGCCTCTTCCTCCAGGCCTGAGAAAGACAGAGAAGGTCAATGCCTATGAAGCACTTTAAACATCTGGGAAGGTGAAAGCTGCTTCTCCGAGTCTATTAAAACCAGGGATAAACCCTTACATAACGGGACACATGTGCCAACAGCATGAGCTGAGGTATATTAACGGGTTGATAGATTAGTTAAATCTGAACCTGAATATAGTAACTGTTTATTGAGTGGAAAAGTCTCCTTCCAGGTACTTTGGAAACTGGGAGGCCTCATTTACCATCTTTGGTCTGCCATATACTGCCATCTTGTGTCTTCATAGAGAATTACGGATGCAGGATGCAAAGTTTATAATAAAAAAAATCTATTGTATTTTTATATACTAACAGCAAACAATTGGAAAAAATTTTTTAATTCCATTTACAATAAAATTACATGAATTACATAAAATTCTTAGGAACAGAGTTAACGACAACAAATATACAAGATGGCTACACCAAAAAATATGACAGTTCTGAAAGAAATTAAGAAACTCTAAATAAATAGATATACCATGTTCATAGATTAGAACAGGGATCAGCAAATTATAGCCCAGGGGAAAATCCAGCCTCCTGCCTATTTTTGTAAATAAGATTTTATTAAAACAAAGCCATGCCGGGGCGCCTGGGTGGCTCAGTCGGTTGAGCGTCCGACTTCGGCTCAGGTCACGATCTCGCGGTCCGGGAGTTCAAGCCCCGCGTCAGGCTCTGGGCTGATGGCTCAGAGCCTGGAGCCTGTTTCCGATTCTGTGTCTCCCTCTCTCTCTGCCCCTCCCCCGTTCATGCTCTGTCTTTCTCTGTCTCAAAAATAAACATAAACATTAAAAAAAATAAAAAAAACAAAGCCATGCCTATTTATTGCCATATTGTCAAAGGTTGTTTTCATGGAGTTGTGAGAGAGACCATATGATTTGCAGATCCCAAGCTATATACTATATGGCTCTTACTAGAAAATGTTTGCTGGCCCCTGGATTAGAAGACTCAATATTCTTAACATTTCATTTTAATCTATTTAATCTATAGTTTTAAAACAATCCCAGTCAGACAGTTGCTGAAATCTTTCCGGGCCTTAGTATCTGAGATATGGGTAATAATAGAAACTACTCCATTGGTTTGTTTTGGGGATTAGGAGAGATAATGCAAAGCAAGGGTTTAGTACCACGTCTGGCATATAGTAAGTATTCAATAAATCTAAGCTTTTGTTATCACATGTTCCAAAATAGCAATAACAATAAGCTATATCGTCTCAAAGAAAATTATTCTCCATAGGGCAACAGTGCTCTGCACCACCTCCTTTGTATTATTTCATGTATGAAAATATAGTAAATAGTCATCTCAGAAACCCAACAACAATGGTTCCTATTGGTTCCTGGCCTGTAATTATTCACATCTCCTTTCCACACATTAAGGAATCGATAGTGGATGAACAAGAGAGTAACAAAGAAGAAAATATCCATCTGACAAGATTTCTCCGGGTCCTGGCCAACTTTCTCATCATCTGCTGTTTGTGTGGAAGTGGATACCTCATTTATTTTGTGGTGAAGCGATCGCAGGAATTCTCCAAAATGCAGAATGTCAGCTGGTATGAAAGAAATGAGGTAAAGAAGACATCTCTGTGGAAGTGAATATTGAGGGCAAACACAGAAATTATACTCATTCCTATGCCATTCTGCTGAATTAATTGAAAATCTGGATTATGGGACATGTTTTAAAGAGTGAAATTACATCCCTTTCTAGTCAGGTAGCATGAACATTTGAACCAGGAGTCACCTCTTATAAGGCTTTTGTAGGTTGATAAAGCTGCATTATAATTAGCATGTCAGTCAACTGAATAGTCAGTTGTCTTAGCATTTTTATTATTTTATTATTAAAAAGGTGATCCTTTCTTCACAGCTCTACAGTGCCATACATCAAAAATCAAGTATCTGTTAATGTGTGGGTGTGATTCTGGGATCTCTAATCTATTCCATTGGTTTATTTACCTGTTCCTGCACTAAACACACACTGATAAACTATGGCTTTATAGTACGTATTGATATCGGGTACACTGAGTTCCCTCCCAACAAGATCCACAATAAGATGCATTGAAGTTTCATTGTAATTATATTAAATCCGTAAATCTCTTTTGGCAATCTAACATCTTAGTAGCTAGCAAAAATGGCTACAAATTCTTCCCCTTATTGTATTCCTATATTTGTTTGCAATATGATTTTCTAACTCCTCTCATGAAGAGGTGGAATCTGTTTCCCCATCCCTTGAATCCAACTAGGCTTGGCCATGTAAGCTCCTTTAGCCAATGAGACTGTAACACCCATGATATAAGCAGACTTGAAAAGGGCTTGTGTATTAGAACTTGCTCTCTTGGAAACCCCGAGACCTCCACCATGTGAATAGTTCCAGACTAGCCTATTGAATGATGAGAGATACAGGACCCATTTATCTCATCATTCTACATTATAGCCAGCCAATGACCAGACATATGAATGAAGCCATCAACCATCAGCTGACCACAGATACACGAATGAAGCCAGGTGAGGCCAGCAAAAGAACCACCTACCTAAGCCCAGAGAACAAAATACTGACCCACAGAATTATGAGCTACATAAATTAAATAAAAAGAATCTATTTCCTCCCACAAAGCAAGAAAGGATAAAAAAAGAAATATGGAACTTCTAGGATAAATGTAAAGCACAAAATCAGACAGATTTAAATCTAAATCTATCAGTGATTACAATAAATGTAAATGGATTACAACTACAGTTTAAAGGCAATGATAATTGGATTGAATTTTTTAAAAACTACATGCTATTTACAATGAACCTATCTAAAACATCAGGTCACTAAGCTGTGAGGGGGATACAAAAGATGCTTGAGATGGATTCTGCCCTTAAGTGGATTTTGTAGTTTCCTTAGGAAGCAGATTTGACAAGAATAAACCAAAGTACGAACAGAAATAGGCTGGAATAGTGATCAAATAAGATGTTTTGGGTTACAGATGTGTGGCAGGTGGAGAGGCCAATGTGAGCTGGAGAGACAGAGGGAGTTTGTGGCAAAGGCAGGAATTAGGCTGTGCATTAAAGAAACATGTGAAGAAAGGTAGTGGTGGAAGAGGTGCAGTGATGGCTTTCCAGGTGGGAAGCACTGCATGAGCCGGTGTGAAGGTATGAAGATGATGAGAAACCAAGCCAACAGTCAGTGTGACAGAATGTGAGGGAGTCAGAACCAGCCCAGAAGAGTTGACCCACCTGTACCTTGGTCAGCAGTTTAAGGATTTACTCTCCACTAGATGAGCAGTTTTAATTTCAGAAAGAATGTTCTACTGTGGTCAGGTTCAGTTACACGAGTAGGATTCTCCCAAAATTGGAGCCAAAATTTAATGCTTACCAGGCTCTGGGCTAGTAGACTTACATCCATCATCTATTCTGACTCTCACAACAAGAACTGTCTTTCCCACTTTATATGTGAAGAAACAAGGAGCCTGAGCTCCTATCTCTGAAGGAATTATGTAACTTTTCCTAAATTACAAAGCCAGCAAATGATAGAGCTGGGGCTCAACCCCAGAGAGCTAACTCCAAATGGCATACTCTATTTTTAAAATTTTTTGTTAAGTTTATTTATTTTTGAGAGAGAGAGAGAAGAGATGAAGAAGGGGGAGAGAGAGAGAGAGAGAGAGAGAGAGAGAGAATCCCAAGCAGGCTCTGCACTGTCAGCACAGAGCCCGACATAGGGCTCAATCTCACGAACCGTGAGATCACGACCTGAGCTGAAATCTAGAGTCAGACCATTAACCGACTGAGCCACCCCAGCACCCTGAAATGCGATACTCTTAACCACATCTCCCTGCTATTAGTTCCCTCCTGTGACTTGAGCTGCCTGTCTTCCATGCTCCTGAGATAAGAGCTACCACAGTGACTCTTGCCCAGCTCATGACTTTTACAGAACACAAAACACTGTTCCATATGTTAATTCATTTATTTCTCAAAGAAAGTTTGTTATTTCTATCAAGACTAATGGCAACATCATGAGAGCAACCAGTCACAGAGCAGGTATGATGTGTGGGACATACAGTGACTGCTCAGGGTGTGTTGGTCCCTTAGCCAAGGCCATACAGCAAGTTGTGGAGACCAGAGGGCATCTCCAGAGGCAGAGGAGGGGGCAAGAAGGAGCCGGGGATTCATGGCCCTAGGGAGTGCAGAGACGGTGGCCAAGCAAGTGATATTAATGGCACAAGTCATCCAGGCTTTCCTGATTTTCTCAGGTAGAAATTGTGATGTCCCTGCTTGGTATGTTTTGTCCCCCTTTGTTTGAAACCATCGCTGCCCTGGAGAATTACCACCCACGCATTGGACTGAAGTGGCAGCTCGGACGCATCTTTGCACTCTTCCTGGGGAACCTCTACACATTTCTCCTGGCCCTGATGGATGATGTTCACCTCAAGGTAAAGACCACCAACTCCCCCTAATCCCTCGTGCCACGAAATTTCCTTTTTCCACTGTAATAATTTCCTTATGAGTAATTCCTATTAAGCGAAGAAACTCTGGAAAGTTGAGGAAATGAAAATGAAGAAAAAAATATCCCCAGAATCCTACGACCCAAAGACAACCATTGTTAACATTGCGCTGCAGGTCTTTACGGTTTTTTCCTTAGTTGTCTTTTTATACATCATATACGTGCCATTTGGTCCCCTTAATATTTTATCTGCAGCCTCTCCTATGTTGTATCGTAGCTGCCATAAATGTTTACCAACCAAGTAAGTGTCCATTGAGATGATATGGCATGATTGACCCAACCTTTCATCACTGCTCACCTGGCGGTTATGGAGCACCCACTATGTCAGGCCCTGAAGGTACAGCAGACAGCAAGACACGGTGCTGTTCCAAGGGTATTCACATCTAGGGTGGGAGACAGACTCATTAATTACAGCGTGCTGTGGCATGTGCTTCGATGGGGGCAAGCCCAGGCAGCATGGCAGTGCATAGGAGGGACTCCAGATTTCCCCTGCCCAACCTGAGAGTCTTACAAGACACTGGAAAAAACAGAGGGAACAGCTGGTCCAAACAAGGAACTGCAGGATGGCTAAGAAAGGAACAGAGGGAAGAAGGGGAAAATGAACCTAAGGGAAGGGTCAAATGATGATGGTCCTCTTCCCCACCCCTTCCTCCTCATTATTGGGCTGCATGAATTTTTACCTGAGGTTATCAGAAAGCTATTGGAAGGTTCTAAGCATGGAAGTAATTGTATCTGTCCTTTGTCTACCCCTCCACCTTCATTTCTGGCTTTCCTCCTACCCCAGTGAACTGCTCTCTTCTCCTGAACCTCACATTTCTTCCCCAGGACAAAAATTTCTCTTGCCTGTCTCTCCACCCTTCTCCCCTTCTTTGACTAGTTGACTAATCCTCCCCGAGGTTTTGTCTCAGATGTCACTGCCTCCAGGAGATTCTCTGTGGCCCCCAGGGTCTGATGTGGATTTCCTTGGTCCCCAGAGGACATTTCCCATAGCTCTTATCCCTCCATCTCTGTCACCTACTAGACTGTGAACTTTCTGAGGGAAGCCTGTCTCTCTTGTGCACTCTTGTGTCACCCTGCCTGGCATGCCCAGAATAGACTCTCAAAGAAATTATTCTCAAAAGAAGAATGAACGACTGGATAGATGGATGGATGGATGGATGGATGGTTGGATGGATGAATGGATGGATGGGTGGATGGATGGATAATAACTTAGAAAAGAGAACTTTGTAGAAAAGACCCAAGGACTTCAGCCAAATGCCCCCCTCTCCTGTACAGACTGAAAGGCTGGGAAGGTATTCTTATAAAGACTGTTGTGGGGTAGGACAGAGGCTAGGTGGCAGGGTAGTGGCATATTCTGCTTTAATTGTTGTTCCCATGGAAACAGTTGGACCACCCTTGGCTCCTTCCAATCCACATCTCCATCTTCCATTTTAGCTTTCTAATGAAGAGAAAATAAAGAACCTCACTCACTGGACTCTGTTTAACTATTACAACTCCTCGGGTTGGAATGAGAGTGTCCCCCGGCCACCCCTGCACCCTGCAGATGTGCCCCGGGGTTCTTGCTGGGAGACAGCTGTGGGCATTGTGAGTAATTTTGCTTCCCTGAAAAAGTGATCCCTGTTCTCGTTCTTCTTCGGAAAGTTTCACCTTTTCTCTTCTCCCTTTTTTTTCAGCATCCCACATATTTCTCTGAATGCTCTGTTCAGCAGTCTAATGCCACTTGTATTCATTTAGAGTTTTACTGCAGATTTCACTGAAAGCCTGAGGCTTCTCCACCCGGAAATAATGAATAAATACTCCTAAAAATTGAATGCAGGATTCGTGTGTGTATATGCCTCTGTGCATTATTGTAAAGAGAATTAATGGTTTGGATTAGTCTCAACAATTAATAACTACCCTTTCTCCTAACCACTGTCACCACTGTTCCTGTGGGTCGCACCATGTGGACTTCAAAGGCTAATGTCTTTCGCCTTCCTGGGCAGACACTTAAAGTATTTGCAGGCAACACAGGGATCAGTGGCCCTCTTTTCCTCAATTTTTGCACAAGATTTCTATTCGTATGCCACCCCGCTGAGACGCAGAGTTTATCACTTCTTCGTGGGCTCCCTGAAGAACCCACTCACATCCACCCGCATCAGACAACAGTGTTTTTAACTGAGAATGGCGAAGTACAATGAAGGAGGGGATTACATCACTCAGTCCATCAAAGACTGCCTATGAATCCACGAGCAGATGTTTTCCTGCTGCACAGTGTCCTTCCCATGTGGCCCTGGGGGGCCTTTCCTCCCTCCTGCCCCCCGAGCCTTCCCTCCATGGAGGGCTCAGACTCACCATTTCTTGTCTCCTCCAGTCCAGATTCCCCCATACTCTTTAAATCCTCCTCTTCGTTATTGTACAAAGCAACCCAGCTTCCCTAGCTCATGCATTTCTAAAGCCCTCACGTGTGTAACAGAGAAAGCGTCCTCAAGTCAGTGAAACCCACCCTCCTTAGAAGGCCGAAGAGAGTTTATTACCTACATGGTTCCTTTGGAGTATTCTGCGATAGAATGTCTCATTTCCTGCCTGGATGCCCATCACCGTTCCAAACAATGATTAAAGCTTGTCTCTTTCTGAACCTGTAGCAATGACGAGTGTGAGCTGCTAAATACTGCTCACCTGTACCCTCCACCACCTCCACCCCAGGCCCCAGAGCATCACCTTGCCCAGACGCGGAGACCTGATACACGTTGATTTGTCTTTTACTTAGGAGCATTAACTTGAATTATTATTGAGGAATACTACCGAAAACTCATCAGCCGTTCATCCAGCATTTATTAATCATCTTGGAGGATGCAAACAATGAATAAAGCAGAGGGGCGCCTGGGTGGCGCAGTCGGTTAAGCGTCCGACTTCAGCCAGGTCACGATCTCGCGGTCCGGGAGTTCGAGCCCCGCGTCAGGCTCTGGGCTGATGGCTCAGAGCCTGGAGCCTGTTTCCGATTCTGTGTCTCCCTCTCTCTCTGCCCCTCCCCTGTTCATGCTCTGTCTCTCTCTGTCGCAAAAATAAATAAATGTTGAAAAAAAATTTAAAAAATAAATAAATAAATAAAAAATAAATAAATAAAGCAGACCCTGTGCCCCATAGGAACTCCAAGATGTCTTAAAAATTGTGATAATGCCTGGTGGATCTTTTCCACTTTTTTAAATTAATAAATTATATTCACCCTATAAAGCAGAGAAAAGCTTTGCTTTTGGCTCTTCCATTGTGTGCCTCGTGTAAAATCTGCATTATTATCTCCATATAGCAAGCAAAACATCCAATTAGCAGGAGATGAAGAATGCTGGCTGTTGTCCTGAGAGCAAGTGGTCAGATTCAGTCTTAGCTGGGGGCAGCTGCACGTCAGAGGAGGTGGGGGAAGCAAGGAGGAAGACTTCAGATCCTCTCTCTGTGCAACAGTGCTGATAACTACCATATACTGGGCCTTGCCAATGTGCCGGGCAATTCGCATGCATAATCACTAAGCTTCCCAATAACCCTGCAAGGCTGATATCATTATCAGCTTCGAGAGGCCCCGAGATTATTCCAAAGCAATGCAATTGGTAACTTGTAGAGCTAGGACCTAAAAATAAACATTTTCCCAAGCCGAAGGGCCTTTTTCTGCACTACCTCTCTGTCCCCAAGAACCAGAAGGTCGCAGAGAAGATTCAGGTGGGTGAGGAAGACTTTGCATGGCTGCAGTCCACTGGAAGGGATCGGCAAGGTTTGACCTTAACCTTACCCTTTTCCTGTGTTCCGCCTTGCAGGAATTCATGAGGCTGACGGTGTCTGACATGCTGGTAACCTACATCACCATCCTGCTGGGGGACTTCGTGCGAGCTTGCTTCGTCCGGTTCATGAACTACTGCTGGTGCTGGGACCTGGAGGCTGGGTTTGTAGGTCACCGTTTCAGGGACATTTCCGCAGGAAGGCATCTCAGCCATCCTGTCTGATATAGCCAGATGCATTCCTAGGCATTTATTTAGATAATTGACGCCAATCTCTGCTCTGGGACGTATTGACGTATCCCACGTGTATGTCCTTTAAGTGTCATATTTGCCTTCTCAGAGGAAACTCCACTTCCCCCACGCCCCCGTGTAATTAACAATGCAGCCTTCCTATCCGGGAAATGGGGGCATTTGGTCTGGGGAAAAGTGGATCCCATGCTTCAGTGCTGAGCAGACGGTAGTAAAGAAATGCCACAGTGGCATCGCCTCTCATTCGAGAAGGCAAAGAACACTAGCCTTTGAAGTCCGCACTGAGCAAGCGATGGGAACGGTAATGGAGGTGGATGAGGGGACAAGGTAGCTCATAATTTTTGAGACTCTGTGAAATCTCGGGGTGGGAGAGGGCAGATGCGGACATGACTGTTTCAGAAAGTCTTGGAACACCCAAAGAACACAGTCGCCATTGGTGCAGTCTTCTGGATTATGCTCTGAGAAACCTCTTTGGACTCATTCCCTCCACCTGGAATACTCCTCTTCCCCACCTACCTAGGAAACTGCTCGTTCTAAATGTGGGTCATTTCCCCTCTGGGTGGCCTTCTGTGATATGGCAGAATCTCTGGCCTCATCCATCCTGTGTGTGGTTCTCTCACAACACATCACTCACTGACCCTGTAGTCACTGGTGTTGGGGTGGGGAGGCACTTTCCCTGAACTGAGCCCCATATCTTGTTTACCTGAGTCGTTTTCATCCTGGCCTGCAATAGAATTGGCCTGGCCTCAGGGCGCCTGGGTGGCGCAGTCGGTTAGGCGTCCGACTTCAG